GCTGTGGGCCGCAGAACCATGAGTAATCAACTTTGAAATCCACGAGTACGACGATTTTTCTGACAAGTTTCCTCATTTCGTTATGTCCTCCAGGAATACAAACTACCTCGGTTATTAATACATATGTATGCGCATCAGTCCATTTATTTTTTTCAAAAAATAGTGCAAAACCCAGGAGCAATTGTTAGCTCGAAAGTTTACGCAAATACCTGAACGGAAATTCCCCAGCTTTAGCGGAGAAACCGAAATTCGTGCGTGGATTTTGAATAATGCTTGGACTGGGACTAGGGTAAATTAACATGCCTGTGGCCGGATAGCTTAGCGTTGGGCTTGTCTCTCAATGATTAAAGTGTTGGGAATCACATCCTAGGCTTTGGTAGGGCTGGGTGGAGAAGGATAATGAACCAGAAATGACATCCTAGTCTCTTTTTTTATTTGTCGCTACTGCTTTCTACAGCATTGCTGGTCGTTATGTGATTCAGAAGATGAAGATGCGATCACTGGGACAAGAAGTTTATTTGCCTGACGTTTCGGATTCTCACTCGAATCCATCATCAGAGACATTCGCAGATGATGGATTCGAGTGAGAATCCGAAACGTCAGGCAAATAAACTTCTTGTCCCAGTGATCGCATCTTCATCTTCTGAACTGCTACCTGGGACTCGCCTGTTCGCTTCTATCAGCAATCTTTTTGGGCGCGAAGCGCTCCGATCGGCTCGACGGTGGGAAACCTTTGCCCTTCGACCGTTATGTGATTGTTTGCAAGGACTATAACTTGAGCCTCGAAACTCAAAAGGTGGAACAATTTCCCTAACCTGGTCAGTGAATTCCCTTCCCATGAACAATGCATATGAAGCACATGCATACGGTAGATACGCTATCTTATGAAAAGTTGAATGAAATTCTGAAATGTGCTTTAATTTTGAAAAGACTACTTATGTAGGGTTGTCATATTACCTAACATATCACACAGTATGAATATATTCCAGTCACGTCAAGATGTTGGCTTTCGAGTGAGCTCCTTATCGACTACTTGCACAAACTATATTCCTCGCAAATAACTACTTAGACAGCATGAATTATACCCACTGATTTTTGATACCCTCATAAATTCAACTATATTTTAAAAAGAACATACACAGAAATATTCGATCTTTCACTCATTTTGTAGCGGATTACGTGTTCTCCAAAGTTCATATTTGAAGAAATATTATTTTTCGTTTTACCAAATTTCTCAATTTCCAAATAATCTTGAACCCGACCTGCTATTACACTTACATTCAGGGCTTCCGAACTACGTGATGTATACTTTTCATGCAAGGAAAATCATATAGTTCTGTATGCTGGGGTTATTTGTTGTTCGAAACAACGATGTACAGGATTCAAGGAGTGACACTATTTGGAACTGCTTAGACGATTCAAACAGCTCAAATGTTATAGAAAAGGTCAGCCAAGGAATTCGAGTTGCTCCCAACCAGTGGAAGCAAAATGAAGAAGTTAGTCATTTTAAATGGAGCAATGTCCTAACTCTATCATTCGCCTGTATGTCACTCAGCATAGATATTCGACAACAGTCCAGTATACAAAAATAAAGCGTTTTTGAACCAATTTAAGGTAAAAGTTACAACATAAACTCAAGAAATGATTGAACAGTAAAGGGCTTAAAAATAAGCTTCCTGAATGTTGGTGGTTATATGAAGGCAAACCTCATTTTTTATATTGTTAACGATACTGTCTTATCATGTGCACGCCTGAGGTAATAAGGGCCTACCCTTGCACAGGGACCCCGTAATCACCTTGTATTAACAACAGAGAGGGGATAATACGTTAAAAAGGCGCCTGCTCATTAATACACATCAAACGTTTGTATACTTCACCTTGTAGGGAGTTACGTTTTAAGACGGCATTTCTAGGTGCTAAAGCGGTGAATGCTTCCGCGTAGCTTTTTGTAGTAGAGGCAAAAACGCAATTACAGTAAAAAAACCAACGAGCAATATCTTACCGTGAAACGACTTGCCATAAGGAAAAATTAATCCAATCGAAGAAAATTGGAAAATGACATTCGGCTGCTGTAAATGCCAAAACAACATTATTAACTTGACAAGTCAACGCAAAGAAGATATCGGCCCATTCGATATTTATTTACAGCACCTATATTAGTCTCCTTATCTGATTTTATGGATTTAGTGTACGGGCACATTATAGAGGTTTATTTCTCAAACTTATTGCAGAGGGGATTCTAAATATTATAATAACCACGTTAGCTGGAGATAGGTGCGAGGAAATGTAATCAATAAAGTCATTAAACAGAGGCATGTAAACAAACTTGGTCATAGTGGTGTGCTTAGGAAATATTCCGAGTCCAGGAAAGTAAAGCTGCGATTAGAAAGAAAACATGGACTCTCAAATAACTAAATTTCTAAGTGAAAAAGAAGGCTGATCGAGCAGCGAAACATCCAGTCTACTGTTATGAACTTCCGAACTCATGCGGGGGTCCATCGTCAGAGATAGAGGCAATATCAGAACAACTGACAATTACAGGACATGCTAGACAGTCATCAATCTATGGCACAAGACTGGAAGTGACTGCTCAGGTCTGTGTACGCCGTCGCCAGATTAATAAATCTCTTCACTGCGTTACATTGTGCCTTTCCAACTAGTTGCACCTGAATCCGTTGGCTAGCCGAAGTAAACAAGTCCAGAATGGTTAGCAAGGGTAATGAACAGACGACCACATACCAGACGAACTCAGATAGGGTAATATAGCACGGCTGTATCGACAACGGTGAGGAAAAACTGAAAATCCCAATATTAAATCCGACTACTCCTCTACCAACATAGCTTAGTCAGCCGTCTGTACTACCAGCGAGGTTTCTATTCGCTTTTCGTACCCTCTTTCCATAAAATTGGACTTATACAGGGATGTAGGAGGAATTCACGCTTACTAGACATTTTAATTTTTCCTACTTAACCTTACGCAGGAGGAGTAACAGACGGTCATCAGCAAAGCAGCACACAACCTTTTGTCTTTCATTTTATACTATATTTAGCATGCCCTAATCTCACTCACTCACATTTCGCCCTAATTGTCGACGCCAGATATTAATCTCTCGCGCGATTCTATAAAAACTGCTGTTGCTTAATACACGCAACAGCCTGCAAGTACCGTTTCCAGGCGTGCTGTACGACAGAAACGTCAATGGAGAACTCAAAACAAGGGTTTGCAGGACGGCAAAGCATACATCTCGTATTCTACATTGCCATAGCAACCATCCCATATCGCACGAAGCAGCTGAGTGATAAATTTCTACTGGTTGTAGGGGCGCATTGTGCCAAGCCGAACAACATTAATGTTGGGGTGCAGTTTCTGCAGTTAGCGCAGTTTTGAAGGGCAGACCAAAATAGACCTAGCCTCTCCAAAAATAAATTACAGGCTACGCTGTGTTTCGTTAACTAAGCAACTCCCAACACTCTAACATCGTTGGCGAACGCTGTTCATAAAGCCTATGAGAAAGACACCAGTGGAACTAACCCCCCGATACTGTCATTTCATATTAGCGTTTACATTTCTAAACTCAGCGTTTCCACTGAATCGTTGAAGTATCGAACTTTGCCTGTATAGCTATATGACATTATATCTACACTTTGTGCCATATTAGTAGAAGTAAATCCTATTATGTTGCCTTAACAGTTGCCGCGCTTCTTCATGGCGTACGCTGACCCCAAAAAAATAAGTAGGGTGGGTATTCTTCTAAATGTTTCATTCTCAGAATAGATGACCAAACGGCGACTGAACTACCGTAGTCCGAGGAAATGAATATGGTGGACAAACTGTCGAAAATATCATTTCTGAGATTGAAAATCAAACGCAGATGTCTACCTGGCGAAAGTAGACAGCAGTCATCTAAGCATGGATTTCTAGAGTGGGAGAGTGGTTGCATTCAAATCTTGCTCCTTGGTGAAACATTCTAGAATGTGCCCTAGTTTCACCTCCAGAGCTTGCCCTAGGAGCTGGTAATTAAGAACATGAGCACGCCGGCAAGATCCGGAAGCTAATCCACCCTGATAAGCGTGAGTTTCCGCCTTTGTTGCTGTTGCTGTTATTTGTTGATGAATTACTTTCTGCCTAACGTGGCCATTTTTACGAAAAGTTAGAAGCTGGTTGGTTGAAGTATGAGACGCGCTAGGCTCTGTGGTTCCGCGGAGAAGTTTGTAAAAGTTAATACCATCTTTTGGAAAGAATATAAAATTTCGTTATTAATCACCCAGCTTATGCTGTTCTTACGTCTTTATGCATAGTAGCAGTTCACCTTATTTCATATCTGTACGGTTGACAAAAAAGTGAAACCAATCGGTTTGGTAGTGGCAGTGGAATTTTTCTCAGGTAATTTCGCTTGCGCAGACAAATCTTCTGCCGATTTAACGGTACCTCTAAGGTGAAGACGCCGTCTTTTGCCTTGTTTCCCAACTTCTCGCTTCTGGTTGCGTAAGATACGAACTATACCGATTAATCTTTTCCAGCTAGGCAAACGACTACCGGAAAACTCTGGGCAAGTTGCTTTTCGCCGGATATTATCCTGTGGGAGTGGCGCGCATACACAAACTGGTATTCGTTTCTGTGCTCTTGTCACCGGCTTTTGTTCATCATAATAAATCTATCATCCAATGAGTGGTTTCTGTCCCTGCCCCATTTGTTGTTACTGAAGATTTTGGAAGCGGACAAAGAGACGACAACCCAACTCCGATTGGCTACTTCAGATGCGGGAGCGGAGAGAGGGGGGTGGCGAGACAGCGAGAAATCGGTCACGTGAGGACGAGGGAAGGTGGCCGAACCGAGAGGAAGACTACATAGAAAAGTACCAACTTCACGTCCAATCAGGAACTAGTGAGCGGTTTCACGAGGCAGGGCGTCGGAATAACCCTCCCCCCCTATCCCCAACCCCTTCCGCGATCTGAAGACGACATTATCAAACTGTCACACTTCACCCCAAGCGTCCATAATGTTCAACTGCAAGACCTGGGTGCTTGAGGACAGCAGTGCCCTGCCAGTCAACGCCACCTGCAAAGATCTAGAAATGTCAACCTCACAGGGTCTGGAGAGGCCCTTGCCGGACACCCAGCAAGCCTTCGTGGAGTACTCGGTCCAGCAGGCCAACCCCGGACCCCAACGAGTATATAGGAGATCCACACGGCGCTGCTCTTGGAGCAGCCTTTCTACTGCAGGTGACAGCGCGAGCATCGCCTCCGGTCTGACTAGCCCCTATCCTCGGCTGACGATTAACGCGCGGGAGCGTCGCCGAATGCACGATCTGAATGCGGCCCTGGACGAACTCCGTAGTGCTCTTCCCTACGGCCACAGTCCATCGGTGCGAAAGTTGTCCAAAATTGCAACTCTTCTTTTGGCCAAAAACTACATCCTCATGCAGGCAAATGCTCTCGGTGAGTTGAGGCGACTTTTCGTCTTGTTGAAGGAGCGGAATTTGCTTCCGGTTACACTGGCTGCAGCACCATCCCCTCCAATGTCAACTGGCACCAATTCGACGACCAATTTTGTCCAGAGGAGAACTGGCAAGTGAAGAGTATCACTTTCCTAACGGCTGACACATTCATCCTTAACACATTTCGGGAAGTAAATCAGTTCTACAATCTATCAGTCGTAATCTCCTCAATGGGTCTTTTTCAATTCTACATTATACATTCAAGGGTTCACTTATTTCGCATCTTTCGACTGCCCTGCTCGTCGCGCCGTCAGCTTATTATCTGTGAAGTTCCCGCGGTCTTCATGTCCGCCTACAACTGAGATAAAGAAGACACCTATTTGACAAAACATAGTTAAAATACACCTTGAGAAATCTAAGTAACGTAGTTTATTTTATCTCTATACCTACATATTCGATTTAAAACCTACAATACTTAGAAGTTGAAGGGTCGCAGCCTAAGTATTTTTAATTTTGAGCATGGTACTTTTGAGGTCGAATGATCTGCTTAAGTGTTTCGAACAATATTTAAAGAAAGAAATCCGTGTGATGGCGATAGACAATGGCTTGTGGGTCATTGTGGTGTTGACAGCGAACACAGCAAAGTCGCTAACAGCGCCTTACAAAATGGCGCTGGCTGGCTGTCACTTTCTAAACCGTCCTACTACTAAATGCCACAGACTTTCCTGGCATACACCAACTCTCAACGTTTTTCAAAACTCTGTGCTCAATATAGCAGTCATTTATTACGTACTTTAGTCAGTACCCTCAAGGATGTTTATCACAAAACTGGCGCTTCTACCAGTAATTCAGGCTATCCACCACCACCACCAC